TTTGGTTTGGCTTTTTTTATGACATATCAACCTCAATGGGTTATTTAATGCAGACAAGATTTTTATTGTTGGTAATATTTTATTCCAAAACTGTATTGCTGGTGATAATTTTTCCTCAAAATTCATAGCTGGTAATAAATTCTTACAAAATGTATTGCTGGTGTGAAAACCTATTTTTACACTTTCATAGTGTTTTGACCCTGTTTGGGCACATAGTTGACCCCAGTTTGTGTTTCAACTATGTGCCCAAACAGGGACCCAAACAGGTGCTCCCACCCCGGATGGAACTGGGAACACTAGCAATTAAAAGGTGGTTCCACGCTCCTCAAAACCTCCTGATCAGAGGTTTTTCTGTTGGATGTAGTTTAACGTCTTACCCAGAACGCGGATGTAGTTTATCGTCTCACTTTGAACGAGTATGTAACTTATCGTGATACCCAAGACGCTAATGTAGTTTATCGTGATACCCAGGACGCGGATGTAGTTTATCGTCATACCCAGGACGCTGATTGTATTTTATTGTCTTACCAAGGACGCGGATGTAGTTTATCGTCATACCCAGGACGCAGATGTAGTTTATCGTCTTGCCCAGGACGTGGATATAGTTTTTTGTCTTACCCAGGACGCTGATGTATTTTATCGTCTTACCCAGGTTGCGGATGTAGTTTATCGTCATACCCAGGTTGCGGATGTAGTTTATCGTCATACTCAGGACGCGGATGTAGTTTATCGTCTTACCCAGGACGCGGATGTAGTTTATCGTCTTACCCAGGACGCGGATGTAGTTTATTGTCTTACCAAGGACGCGGATGTAGTTTATCGTCATACCCAGGACGCAGATGTAGTTTATCGTCTTGCCCAGGACGTGGATATAGTTTTTTGTCTTACCCAGGACGCTGATGTAGTTTATCGTCATACCCAGGACGCGGATGTAGTTTATCGTCTTACCCAGGACGCGGATGTAGTTTATCGTCATACCCAGGACGCGGATGTAGTTTATCGTCTTACCCAGGACGCGGGTGTAGTTTATCGTCTTACCAAGGACGCGGATGTAGTTTATCGTCATTACCCAGGACGCGGATGTAGTTTATCGTCTTACCCAGGACGCGGTTAGAACTGGTGGGACTAACGGTTTTTGTAACTATTACCAGGGTTGTTAATATTCAGTAGAGAAAAAAAAATTATTTTGGCCGATGTTATTTCTCGGTCCGTGAAGATCCTTTTTTGGACGGAGGTCTTACCCAGATCTCACCGTCTTTGACTTTCATAGGGAGGAATTTGATCCGTTACCCTCCTTTGCTGGCCATAGCTTAGAGCCTCCGATATTCCCAAACGGTCTCCTGTCTAGGCAGTGAGATTTCTCAATGTTGCTTAATTTCTCGTCCGATAACCGTTGTTACAACGTGATATGGCCGTAAGCTATGACCGGTATAATTTTAATTTAAATATACATGATATCCAATGCCAGTGTAGTCTTCTGCAGAGCAGTTGGCAACTATGTGCGGATAGATTATTGGATGAGTAATCGGAAAGCCAGGTTCGAATTCCATTCGGGGATCGTTATATTCACTTACGAGCCAATACCCTTCGGAAAGAGATAAATCTTTCTTCTCCTTTTCTACCAGGTATGGGTTAAATAGATGCACTTGTATGTGGAAAATAATAATTGTTGCTCACAATATTTTTAAATGCATTATGCACACGAAAGAAAAGAAAATTCTTACAAGAGAAACATGTTGCAACTTTAAAATGACCCACAAACTGTTGATGAGCCGTCAAAAATGGTATCAATTTTAATTACATGTACGAACTATTTTTTTATTAATTATAAACACACACATATAATCAGACATATTATATATATATATATATATATATATATATATATATATATATATATACTCGACTCTTCCGTTGAATTCGACGTATGAAGGTCAAGCAGATCAGTTCCCAGGAAACCGACAGCCGGACAACAACACATGAGATTTGATTATAGTGGTGAAGGTTTCGTGCAGGACCATCCACACTTTTTGAAAGGACGAATACAGAGACCTGGTGCACCAAGTGCCACAAGGTCTCCAAACGACCCTCCGCAGGTTTTGAATTCAGAGTTGTCCTTCTCCTAGACCAGTTGCCATCCAAGGCTATAGAACCCAGTCTGTCCTGCTATTTTACCCATAGCTGGAGGGAGAAGAAGAGGATTCACACCTTTGCCGAGTTCGAATTCCAGTCGAATCCATTACATTCACTTACGTGATATATATATATATATATATAGTCATTCATTGAATCACAGCTCTTTATTGTTGCTTCAAGCCGGGATCGAAACCCGACGGATTTCTTATCATTCAAAGACTCTACCCCGATGCTACCGTCGAAATACGTCAAATGAATTCGGTTGAAGAGAAAAGCGTTAATAACGGTATGGTCCACTGTTTTTTCTCAAAAGAGCTCAATCGGTTTTCCAGGGCATATATATATATATATATATATATATATATATATATATATATATATATATATATATATATTATTCATAAGTAAGAAAATAAAAATTATAACATAAATATGTAATAAAATCACTACAAAAATAGCCATTTTGTTTCAACACCCTCTGTGGCTTATCAAGAGATCATGTTGAATGCAAAATAAATGGTTTATATATATATATATATATATATATATATATATATATATATATATATATACGTACGTATTTAGAATTTTCTCAGAATTAACCAGTAAAAAAAGACAATACGTATAAAGGGAAAAAGACAATAGGAAAACTGTAGTTTAGTCGACACGTTTCGTCAAATGTGAATTTTTTCAAGGCAAAAAACGGAAGGAATTTATGGAAACAAATGATCTATAAACAACAAACAAATTTTTATACTATTGCATAATCATGAAAATTTGAAAGTCATGGGGTGTGTTTCTTAGGACCCCCTGAGAGTGTGCGATATTATGGATATGGATGAGTTCTTATGGTGAATGCGTCAGTTGTAATGAGTGAATGGGTCGTAAATCGGATTAGCTAGGTATAAAATAGTAAGTGCAAAACACATTCAACCCATTGCCTCCTTTCGGCCTTGTGCCAAATTGTATATTTTATACAATAAATATCAACAAGAAACAAAATATCGTTAGCAACTACAAGAATTTAAAAACGCTATTGTATATTCATTTGTTATGTCTGAACAGAATATTTTCACGTGTAGAAATATTGTTTGTATTGTTGTCTTGATGGATTCGACCGTTTTCTTTTGATTTCTTGATATATTTGTTGTGTACGTTAGCTTTAGAGTGTAGTGATTCTGTTAGGAAAGGTGATATTGGTAAAAATCCTGAGTGTAGATTAATATTTGGATAATATTTAATGGGGGCACTCTCGAGGATTTTCCTTCTGAGTGAATTATTTTCTTTTTTTTATGAGTGTATCATTTATAAAATCAAAATTGCGGTTGAATTTATTTCTATGTATGACTAGTACATATTGATTGTTATTTACGAGGTCTCTTTTTGTGCTCATAGATGACCGGGAAACGTAATTAAATCTGTTAAATTAAAAAAAGCAGAGCATTTACTCAAATAAATTTATACACATAAAAAACCTATATACAGAAAATATATAAAAATAATCTCATATATATATATATATATATATATATATATATATATATATATATATATTATTATTTATAAAAAAATTATAACATAAGTATGTTATAAAATCACTACAAAAATAACCATTTTGTTTCAACACCCTCGGTGTCTTATCAAGTGATGATGTTGAAGAAAAAAAATAAATGGTTTTAAAAGTTTCAGATTAATTAACGATCCTACATTAGGGGAAACATTGTTACAAAAAGCTAGAATAACCAATCAAAAACCAAGTATAGAAAGATTCAAAAGCTTGACAACGAAATCAAGTTATAATAGCTATTCAGATCTTTAAAATACAGGTAATATTAAAAATAATTTATACTAACCAATAATTATAAAATTATATGATAAAATTTAATATTAAAATTAAAAACTGGCAATTTTAAAATCAAATTTAATCACTATTAAGTTTAAAACTACAAAATTATTGAGAAAAAGAAAAAATATATATGTTTATTCAATTCATTTCTTCATTGAAATTACGTTCGACAAGACGCTACAATACATCCGGTCATTTGACAATACATGTATATATATTTTTTATTCTAAAATTATGAACGTGGTCTTAAACTCACGCAAAACAACAAAAAAACAATCAGATTATAATACATAAGCACCCAGACATATTTTATAACATTTTATAACATACTTATGTTATAATTTTTTTATAAATAATAATTATATCTACTCTACTTTGTATTGAGCACTCTTTTAAGAATAATAATTGTTGGTTATTGGAATTAATTCCGTATATACCAATTATATACTTGTGTATATATATATATATATATATATATATATAGTGGTACTCGCTTGGAAAAACCTTGGATAGTTCGACTTGTAGTAGAACAAATCTGTACCCAATGAAAAATAAAAAGAATAAAAAAGGAATTTAAAAAAAAGAAAGAACCAAGAACATGAAATTGAGGCGAAAACAATCGTCCAGAATTCAAGCTCAGAGTCCAAAGAAAAAAAACCCAAAACGAGTAAAAGGCAACTACGTAAAGTGCTGAATACACTAAGTAGAGCAAACGGATATATATATATATATATATATATATATATATCAAACATATAATGTTTAATATAACAGACAACGATTGTTTGATCATGAGCCGTTCTAAGTTTCATATATTGGCTTTAGTTTCTGAAGAAAATAAAGACAAAAACTGTCCAACATTCTATGAGGTCGTACAGGACCACGTGAGAGAAGAAGGCTTATGACTTCGTCCTAGCACAGCTATCGATGGCCTTCAAGGGTTCAACCCGTGGTATGGTTGTCAGGCACATTGCAAAGTTACCGCCCGCTCGGATCGACCCCTCTAGTTCGATAACAT